GTGTTCCAGCCCGAGGCAGCTCAAGCAGACCCTGTGCGGGTCTTTGCTTGAGATTTTGTTCCCACAGGTACAGAGGCGAGCTCCTGCGCCGTCGACTCCTCTGGTGGGAGGAGCGGCTTCCATGTTGGCTAACTGGTGTGTTAGCATAGAACGAGCAGATGCACTGGAGTGTGAAGCTGCTCATTATGCCCCGAGCCTATGGTGAAGGTCAGGACAGAAGGACGGTAAGTTAACGTTCGGCGACGGAGAGAATATTAGAAGGCTCCGTCTGTGAACAGTTGAGCTAACTTACCTCAGAGATAGAGTAGGACCTGGCTGCAGACATCAGCTGGTGTGTCGAGAGCAAGATGGCGTGCCATTACTTTTACCGGAAAATCGACGAGCGAAAGACCTCGGCAGGAAGTTGGTCCTTTTTTGGCGGCCGCTACGTTGTTTTTGTTTCAACCATACTCGGCGGATTTCAATTGAGGAAAGGTAAGGATAAGGATGATAGATAAAGAAAGAAGGATAAGGATGAAATTAACTAATTGTTGCAACCGTTCTTAGTTCTTAAATGTAGGCACTGTAGCGTTTAAAGCTTTACCAGAGAATTATTGCAAAGGCACCGTGTTTCATAGCTAATTGTATCAATATTAACACGCAGTCTTAAAACGAATGCAGGGAGATCACAAGCTAGCGAACACAAAAGCTACATAAATAAAGCTATCAGCAATTGTAGCTTAGCTTTAACTTAGCTATTTGATTTTTCTGGTCTCCCTGTTTGTTAAAACAGTTAAAGTAATAATATTAACTTTATATATAATTTAGATATGATATAAAGACCACGATTTCTAATACTGACTTGACTGAAACGTTATTAATACCCTTTTTTAATTAAAAAGTGTAGATTTTCAGAGATTTGTAAGTGGTTTCAATCACTAGTTTTCATACGAGGCTAAAGTTAGCTTCCGATTCGGGAAATGGCTAAAGGGCTAATACACCCAATTTTTCTCTACTCTGACCATTTTTATTCTGCTCTAGCTCAAAACCTACAATACATACACTCTTCAAACCTGTTTTAAATTATTCTGGGCTCGTAGGAATGCATAAAACATAGTTTGTGATTTGTGAAACCTTCCTCTGATTTGTGAAACTTCAAAAAGACAGATTTATGAATTTATTTTTCAGCATCTGGCCCACACTGGAACTGGTCCTGTGCACCCAGAAATAAAATCTATTTTCTGGACAAGCTTAGCTTTCAATATCTCTAAATATTTTTCAGTTATTGTGTGTGGTGTGCTGGGTCATTCTACTGTGGTTGCACAAATCAGGTGTCCTGCAACAGGTACAATAACTTTGAAATAGTAGCCGCTTCTCTAATTAATGCCGCCCTCCTTCTGATTCTGTTTCAGAATAATCCTATCCTTATAAAAAATAGATATTTTTGTCGACTGACTGCTTTGATCGGGTTTGGTTTATATTAATATTACCGGATTTAAGCACATGTAGCTGCAAATCATTCAGGAGTTACAGGCCTTAAATATAGATCTAAAATGAATATCGGACTTCTTCAAGTGACCCTGACAAAACTCCTTACATGTGCTTGTATTCTTCATTTGCTAATAAGATGTATTTTTATCTATATTATAGGACAATCGAGGCTTTGAAAAATGGAACCCAGGCAGTGATTTCAGATGGTGAAATCAAGGTAATGTTTAATTATAATAAATTAAGACTCTAAAATTGGACATAGGATAATGCAATCCCTTGTTATCTGTGGTAATGTTGCTTATTTTTAACTCTTGTCTCTACTCAGACTTTGTATAAGGATCTCTGCAGCGGTGGAGTGAAGTCTGGCCTCATGTATCTGTGGCACAATCCAGGTGTCTCGCTTAAATTAAAGCAAAGACTAAAGCCACTGATGTTCCACTTTGCTGATGCACAGGTAAATGTATACTGACTTACAATAAGTTGCATCACATTTATTTATGTGGATGCGTGGTCAGTGGGCCACCTGGGTCCGTTGTCTAATGCTGAGAGGAATGTTTTGTTCATTTTTATGTTAACGTGTTTTATAGGTTGATGAGCTGACAGAGTGGATTGGTTCATGCTCAGGAATAGATAAACTAATAAAGAAGAGAGAGTTCCAGTTTCTGGACTTGGTGTTTGATGTCCTTGTTCCAGAGGTACAACGCAGGCTTCAGCAGTGATTGGTATAAAAGTTACTTTTCGAAAACATTTGACAGTGTATGAAGTAATCCTTAACAGAGTTTGGTGGCAGGAGAATCTCGTCTCTGCTTTTTGCGGATGATGTGGTATAGCTTCACCCAGCTCTGATCTTCAGCTCTTGCTCCCTTCAGCTCTTGCTGGGTAGGTTCGCGGCCGAGTGTGAAGCGGCTGGGATGAGGGTCAGCACCTCCAAATCTGAGATTATGGTTCTCGACCGGAAAAGGGTGGCTTGCCAACTCCGGGTCGGGGGAGAGGTCCTACCTCAAGTGGAGGAGTTTAAGTATCTCGGGGTCTTGTTCACGAGTGACGGTAGGAGGGATCGGGAGATCGACAGGCGGATTGGTTCAGCGTCTGCAGTGATGCGGACGCAGAGCCAATCTGTCGTGGTGAAGAGGGAGCTGAGCCAGAAAGCCAGGCTCTCGATTTACCGGTCGATCTACGTCCCAATCCTCACCTATGGTCATGAGCTTTGGGTAATGACCGAAAGAACGAGATCGCGGATACAAGCGGCCGAAATGAGTTTCCTCCGTAGGGTGGCCGGGCTCAGCCTTAGAGATAGGGTGAGGAGCTCGGACATCCGGGAGGGACTCGGAGTAGAGCCTTTGCTCCTCTGGATCGAAAGGAGCTAGTTGAGGTGGTTTGGGCATCTGGTCAGGATGCCTCCTGGACGCCTCCCCGGGGAGGTGTTTCAGGCATGTCCTGCCGGCAGGAGGCCCCCGGGTCGACCCAGGACACGTTGGAGAGGTTACATCTCCAATCTGGTCCGGGAACGCCTTGGGGTCCTGCCGGAGGAGCTGGTGGAGCTGGCCGGGGAGAGGACGGTCTGGAGCTCCCTAGTTGGGATGCTGCCCCCACGACCCGTACCCAGACAAGCGGAGGAAGATGATGACGTTGAAGTAATCCTGCATGTTTTTCAGGTAACAATAAAAGTGTTGGAAAAATGGAAGGGGATGAATTGATATGCTGCTGAGAAAGCCATGCTTCAGCAAATTAATTTGTACCCAAAATAAAATGGTTGTGAAATCAAGTGTTTCTTTGGTTTTATTGTCTTTCACTCAAAATAAATACCAACTAGCTAAATAGTTATCAGCTGTAGTAGTTAAATTCTGTTGCAATGAGCTGCTGTGATACACAATAGGACAGTGTTTTGGATATTTAATAACTAATTTTTGTTGCTGGTGAGAGAGGAGTGTTGCTGAAATGTTTTTCACTGCTTCTGGGAGTCCTGTACTTTAGCAATTGGTGTAGGTCAAAAGTTCATCTTGGGCTTAACAATAAAACTGAATATTTAGCCAGTACTATTTTGTTAGCACATTTTGAAAAGTCTTAGTTTAACGTGTTCTCATTTTATCCATATGTTTTTTTAATTCACTTTACAGCCTTTTATTGTGTGTGTGTGTGTGTATATATACATATATGTGTGTGTGTGTATATATATATATATGTATATGTATGTATGTATGTGCTACTGTCATAAAAATTCCCTGTCTGAAGAACAAAGGGATTTAATATTCAGTTTTCATGCAACGCAGGTAACAACGTTACTTAAGTTTGCCAGTCCAGATCTGAAGAGAAAAAAAAATCCGAAATAAAAAGCTTTTTCCGGTAAGTTTTTTTTTTTTTTTAAAAACTACTTCCAGTGAAAGTAATGACTTCTGGTTAAGGTAATGACCCACTGTGTAATTTTTCTCTTAAATGTGTACAAATCGAAGAGAAAAACGACACGGTATGGTTTTGACAAATCCAAACTACTTTTGTGCTTTGTCAATAAAGCGTATTCAAGAAAAAAAAACTACTTCCGGCAAAGGTAATGACCCGAAAAAAAAACTACTTCCGGCAAAGGTAATGACTTCCGGCGAAGGTAATGACACTTGTTTTTCCGGATACGTCATTTCCTGTCACGGCAAAGACGCCAGCTGATGTCTGCAGCCAGATGCTCTTGCAGAGATAAGCGACCACCGAAGCGAGAAGAGGTGATTGAATAGTGCGTACGTGGGGACGCTTGCTACTTATAGTAGCAGGGGGACGCGTACGTCACGGTCACTGGCCAATCAGGATTGGCGTATTGAGATAAGTGCTTCTGAGGAATCCGCGGAGGGGCGTATCCCATAGTGAGACATCGAAACGAATGTTAAGAAAGAGAACAGTCAGCTGGCTGATGACATGACTTTATTTTTAAAGGATTCTGCTCAGATATCTTTAGCATTAATATTACTGCTGCAGGACCAAAACTCAAGTGGATTATTGGTTGTCAAGTCCAAAGGGGTTCAAATGAAAGCAACTGGAGAACCTAACACAACTGGAGGTGGCGCTAGAGCACCACCGCGCTGTTTGCTGATGAAAACCACAAAGTAGAGGCGGGAGACTTCCTGGAGCACTGTCCGGTTACCGTTAGATGTTTGGGGAAATAAATCCAGCTGCTGAGATGGACATAAGGACACTCATGTCGTCATGGACGCGCGGCGGTCTGCTGAATATCGCGGTTCTGGTTCTGGTTCTGATACTGGTTCGAGGTAACTAAACTTTAAGTTTCGCTTTTGTTTCATCGATGTTTCTGATCAAACCCGTTTCCGGTGTTGCGCCAAAAAGCGACTGGCTGCCAAAAACTGATTAGCCACCGCGGGATCGCGCACGGTTAGGGTAATTGCATTTCTAGACGAAATTCCCCAGGATTTCGGCTTAAAACTCGGCATATCTAGCAATATGGACATTGAGAAAGCAGAGATAACCTTTTAAGTGTTGCTATTTGTCTTTAACGTTCACAATGAGGATATATTAATCCTTTTTGCAATATTTGCGATTGAAAGATGGTTTGTGGTAAGAACTGGCTTTCTTTATGTTACAGCCTTGATACTAAAAAATAAACAATGTAAAATGGCGCCCTGTATGGAATGTAAACGTTGTATAAATGTAAATAAACAATTGTCCAGCGTTTTGTTTTCCTCTTCCTTTCTTTAGTCCACCTGACATGGAGCCACAGTTAACTAGTTTGGGGCACATTTTTACTTGAACAATAGTATTTAAATTGATCAGGCTTTGGCTTTACTGACACTGTGTAGGTTACTATCACGTTACTTTGCTCTATAAGTAACGAGATAAAAGCACTTCAGCACATCAAATTAAGATTGTCACGTGCCATCGAACATTCTTTAGATCATTTGTATTTGTTAGATTTAAACACTAAACCGGAACCGGTTCTGAACATGAAACTGGATTAAAGTCGCTTTGTTTGTGTTTGTTAATCTGAATTGGACCAGTACCGGTTCTGCTGTGGTTCTGGTGTTTTATTCTCATTAAAATCATTTTCCAGTTGTTTCTGAGGAGGTTCTGGTTCCACCAACCCGTGTCCACCTCAACGGGTCAGAACTGAAGTGGACCGCGGGTCCAGTCCAGGATGACGTCACGTACTCCGTGTTTTACAGGTGAGTACTCACGGAACCGATGGCTGATCCTGATGCACAGTTCTGAACTGGTTTGGGCTTTCTGGTTCCAGTAACGAGTCCAGCGTGTGGGTGCCGGTACCGGAGTGTGACCACACCAGTCTCCTCACCTGTCATCTGAGTGCGACCCGGTCCCTCTCGGAGTGCTTCAGGCTGCGTGTTCAAGCCTCGCGTTTCAGATTGGAGTCAGAACCGGTGGAAGCCTGCAGCAGTCACGGTACTGAGCTGGAGGTTCTGTTTAGTCCAGAAGATGTTTATGAAAGCAATCGTGTGACCTTTGACCCCGTCTTCACACCCAGCTGAGCTTTTTTGTTCCAGAACCTGAGAACCTCCTGTGTCTTCCAGGTTCCTTATGTTCTCCAGAGGTCCGCTTGAGTGCAGGACCCGGTTCACTGACGGTCCTCCTGAGCAGAAACCACAGCCTGTTCCACGAACATGCAGATCACGCCATACATGTGATCTACTTCGGCGCTGAGGGAGAAGAACTGAAGGTGAGAGGTTCTGGTGGTGCAGGCTGAGGTCCTGCTGCAGGTCCACATCGGTCCGTCAGAGTCTGTTAAACCTTCTGTCTCCATCAGGAACAGGAAGATGCCTCAAAGCCCTTCAGAAACCTGGAAGTGGGTCGACGATTCTGCGTCACGGTCCAGTTCCGGCTTCACGGGAAAGCCTTTGGACCTGCTAGCTGTAAGCAGTGTGAGGTCATCCCAGAACGAAGTGAGACTTCCTGTTTCTGACGTTTGAGACAAATGGAACCAATGATCCACTGGAGGCTTCTAATCTTTGACCCGTGTTCTGTGCGTGTTTAGTTCCGGGAGGTCCGGAGCAGAAGATGATCATAGCGACGGTGGTTCTGGTCGTTCTGCTGGTTTCTCTGGGTGTCTGGCTCGCCTACGTCTTCATTTACAAACACAAGTGGATCAAACGGATCCTGCAGCCTCCGTACACCATACCAGATGTAAATACACACACAAACACACACACACACACAGGAAGTTACCGGAACGTCAACAAACAACCGATCTTTCTTTCAGTTTTTCCAGGAACCGATATCTGAGCGGACCGTCCCCATCCTCTGCCCCTCCCCCCTCGAGGAGCGCTATGACGTGGTCCTGAGCGTGACTCCTAGGGAACTGGGGGGAGACTGAACGGAGCCCCCTCCTGCTGCTCCTGGAGCTCTGAGCTCCTCATCCTGCTGCTGGAAAGCTAAATGTGAACAGTGGTTCTGCTGTGACCCGTTTGTCCCTGGCCCAGACGGAACCACTCTGCTCCTAACTAACAATGACCTGATTTCCGGAACTGCGCTGCTCTGGGCGCATGTTGGAGTAGCTCTGTTGACTACATGTAAGTTTTGCCTTTTCTTCTAGTTTCTCAGGAAAAACTGTATTTTTTGGACACTTTACTTTCCTGTTTCTGGTGCTGTGAAGCTTGGAGGATTTTTACTGCTATTTTTTTAAAAGCTTTTTTCACTTTTTGAGCATTTGTTATGATGCGTAACCATGGCAACAAGCTGGTTTACAATCGGGAGCAGCTGATTAACATTGGAAAGGCTGAAATAATACCTCAGCTGAAGCCACAAATCCCAAATGAGCTAAAACACAAGAAGCGTGGGTGCAGAGCGGGAGCAAAACGGATACAGAGAAAGAGGAAATTCAAACCATCTCTTCCATCGATCATAATGGGCAATGTGAGATCACTGGCCAACAAGATGGAGGAACTCCAAGCACTTTCAAGGACTCAGCCAGAGTTGCGCAACCGCTGGAGGCTTCTTCAGTTTGGCTGCAACACCGACCACTACTGGAGATCCTTCCTGCCAACAGCCATTGTAATATACAATAACTCTTTGACGACTTGATTATTATTATTATTCTGAGCTACTACAGCAATCAGTTTCCCTCTGGGATTAATAAAGTATTTTTGAATTGAATTGAATTTCATTTATTTCATTTGGTTCTGATGAAGACGGGTCACCAGGTCCGAATCTGAACTTTAACCTGAGATCCCATGATTATCCCTGTTCAAACCCAACCGACCTTCCAGCACCACCAGAACCAGCACCTGTTACTCAACAGGAGTGGGTCTTTGTTCACAAACAGCAGAACTGAAACAGAACTGGTTTTCAACCATCAGCTGAAACATGCCAGCCACCAACAGGAAGTGGAGAGGAGATGGTTCTGATGGAGAGCACTGGGACTTTACGGGTCATGTGACTCAGGATTTTGTTTTGGTGAATTTGTAGAGAACAGAATTAAATTAAAGAACCCAGAAAGAGTCAAGAACCAGATCCAGCAGAGCATCGGTTACAGCTGCTGCTGGATGATTTGGCTGATTGCCGTGTGATTTTTACGAACCAAGAATCTGATTTGGTTCTGATCCAAAACATCAGGCTGCTTGGGGGCAGAGCCTAAATGTGCCATAGGTGACTTTGTATTTAAGATGTTTGTAATAAAATAAAAGTGAACGGCAGACCCGTGTGGGGTAGTTACATCTGGTGTCCTGCAGGCAGTGTTGCCAACTCCCTAACGACTTTTTGACCCCCTTAATGACCTTTTTTCCATAAAACGCCTAGCGACAAACCTAGCGACATTTCTCAGGACCCGTTGCTACTTTCTGTAGAACTTTCTTGTAGATAATCCCCACAGATTAGCAACAAAGAAACCATTTGCACTCTGAACTGTTCTTCCGGGAGTAAGGAAAGAACGATAATCTGCACACGTGCACGAGGACTGACCAATCATAAACAGTTTTCGGCCGGGCTGATTCGCCGAAGACAAAGGTACAGCTGCAGAGCTGGAGACCGCCGATGCCTGCTGCAGACTCACGCTTCTACTAGAGATGGCGCAGGCGTCAACCTGCGATCTCTGGTTCTGCAGCTGTCAGACACTTTGGCTTTTCCTGCATTTGGCAAAACGCCAAATGCAAGCTTATGAAAAATTAATATATATATGATAAAGACAGATTTCAATTAGAAGATGTGCAAAGCAAGTTAACAGAGAGATAACGATACAAAAAGGAAAGGAGATGGACCGTGTCGCACCGTCGTCACCCCCCCGGCCAGCTGCCCGAGCCACCTCAACTGGCTCCTCTCGATGTGGAGGAGCAGCGGGTCTACTCCGAGCCCCTCCCGAATTACTGAGCTTCTCACCCTATCTCTAAGGGAGAGTCCAGCCACTCTTCGGAGAAAACTCATTTTGGCCGCTTGTATCCGCGATCTCATTCTTTCGGTTCCTACCCAAAGCTCATGACCATAGGTGAGGGTAGGAACGTAGATCGACCGGTAAATCGAGAGCTTCGCCTTCTGACTCAGCTCTCTCTTTACCACGACAGACTGGTACAACGCCCGCATCACTGCAGATCTGCACCAATCAGCCGATCTAGCTCACGCTCCAGTTTTCCCTCACTCGTGAACAAGACCCCGAGATACTTAAACTCCTCCACTTGGGGCAGGACCTCATCCCTGACCCGGAGAAGGCATTCTACCCTTTTCCGAATCAATACCGTGGTCTCAGATTTAGAGGAGCTGATTCTCATCCCAGCTGCTTCACACTTGGCTGTGAACCGCTCCAGCGAAAGCCGAAGATCACGTTCTGATGAAGCCAACAGGACCACATCATCTGCAAAAAGCAGAGACCTGATCCTCAGGCCACCAAAACGGATGCCCTCCACACCTTGGCTGCTTCTAGAAATCCTGTCCATAAAGGCTATGAACAGAATCGATGACAAAGGGCAGCCTTGGCGGAGTCCAACTCTCACTAGGTACAAGCCCAACTTAATGCTGGCAATGCGGACCAAGCTCTGACACTGGTCATACAGGGACCTAACAGCCCATATCAGAGGGCCTGGTACCCCATACTCCCGGAGTACCCCCCATAGGGCCCCCCGAGGGACGCGGTCAAAAGCCTTCTCCAAATCCACAAAACACATGTAGACTGGTTGGGCAAACTCCCACGCACCCTCAGGGTATAGAGCTGGCCCAGTGTTAAACGGCCAGGACAAAAACCACATTGCTCCTCCTGAATCCGAGGTTCAACAATCCGACGGACCCTCCTCTCCAGAACCCCTGAATAGACCTTACCAGGAAGGCTCAGGAATGTGATCCCCCTGTAGTTGGAACACACCCTGTGGTCCCCCTTTTTTTAAAAAGGGGACCACCACCCTGGTCTGCCAGTCCAGTGGGACTACCCCTGATGTCCATGCGAAATTGCAGAGCCGCGTCAGCCAACACAGCCCCACAAGATCCAGAGCCTTGAAGAACTCCCGGCGGATCTCATCCACCCCTGGAGCCTTGCCACAGTGGAGCTTTTTAACCACCTCAGTGACCTCAGCACCAGAGATTTGAGAGGCCAACTGAAAGTCCCCAGCTTCTGCTTCCTAGGGCTGGGGGTAAACGATTATTTTTAAAACGATTGTTCTAACGATTATTTTATGGAATAGTCGACTATTCTAATGACTATTTAGATGATTAATGTAGCAATTATTTTCTTATTCCACAATTAATAAAAACAAGAAAATCTCAAATAAATTCCTCAAAAAATTGATAAATTGTTACTGTAAGAGAATAAACACTACAGGCCTTCCATTTTATATAACACTGCTTTTATTGTGTTGGTTGGTTATGTTCTGGTGACGTGTAGAACTTGGGAGTGCAGGCTGCTGTCTGAGAGGTGGTTGAAGATGGAGTGTCTCCATACTGCTTTGTTTTGGTCACTTATGAGCGTGAGGCGAGTGGTGTTACGACTCTTCCTGGGGAGTTTGGCTCGTGTGCAAAAAGGAAGGGACAATAACGGGATTTAAAAGTTAAAATGATGATCAGGTTTATTACAACTACACAAAATCATAAATCTTTCCATCCACAGGTTGGGAATAATAAAACAAATTCTGCCTGTGGGGAATTAAAACAAAAGTACAAAATAACTAGGGATGTCCCACTGGGCAAAGATTACAGGGTTCTGGACCAAAATAAGGATCTCCAAAGGTCCAAACTCTAAAGTGGGCGGTTAAACCAAACTCGAGGTGATATTTTAAACTAAACCGAAAACCCACAACACTCTAAATGTAATTAAAGAGAGATCTGCGCCACAAAAAAGATCAACTGTAAACCAAAACGTAACAGCTTATCCAAATGCAAAAAGCTGTTAGCGAAAATGCTAACAGTAGCTTTACCAACGTTAAGTTAAAGTTACCAAGTTTAAATAAACCAAAAACACCCAGCAGCAAACAGGCCAGCATGGAGGAGAGACTGCTACCATAAAAACAGCTCTCCTAATGTCTGAAAGAAGCTCCTTTATGAAGGGAGAAACGCTCCCAATGATTTTCTACATCTGCGGTAGAGACGAAGCAGCGCATCTGACCCTGGAAGTTGTTTTCCGTTGCCGGGAGATGAAGGCGGGCTAAACAGGAAAGGAATCTAGTAGCAGACGGACATTGTTCCGGGTCTTTGGTATTTAGCGGAGATGTTAGTGAAGGCGGAGAAGAGGGCGAACTAGAGGAGGAAAAACTTGCAGGTTCCTCCTCTATTTACAAACTCCTGGGGATGCAACAAGTGGGTGTGGTGCGTCGACTACCGGATCTGACGTCGACAAATTTTTAGAATCGAGCCATCATCGACGCTTCGCCACAGCTCTACTGCTTCCTCACTGGAAGACGTGTCGGTGGGATTGAGGAGGTCTTCGAAGTATTCTGCCAACGATCCTGAGTAGAGGTCAGCAGCACACTGTCCCCACTATAGATAGTGTTGGTAGCGCACTGCTTTCCACCCAGCGCCGGATGGTGGACCAGAATCTCCTCGAAGCCGTATGGAAGTCTTACTCCATGGTCTCACCAAACTCTTTCCATGCCCAGGTTTTTGCCTTGGCAACCACCCGAGCCGCATTCTGCTTGGACTGCTGGTACCCATCAGCTGCCTCTGTAGTCCCACGGGCCAAAAAGACCTGATAGGACTCTTTCTTCAGCTTGACAGCACCCCTAACTACCGGTGTCCACCAGCGGGTTTGGGGGTTGCCACCACGACAGGCACGACAATCCTGCGACCACAGCTCCGGTCGGCTGCCTCAACAATGGAGGCACAGAACAGGGTCCATTCAGGTTCAATGTCCCCCGCCTCCCCTGGAACATTTTGGAAGTTCTGTCGGAGGTGGGATTTGAAGCTCCTTCTGACAGGAGACTCTGCCAGATGTTCCCAGCAGACCCTCGCAATATGTTCGGGCCTACCTGGATCCTCCCCCACCATCTGAGCCAACTCACCACCAGGTAGTTGTCAGTTGACAGCTTCACCCCTCTCTTCACCCGAATGTCCAAGACATGCGGCCGCAGGTCAGATGAAACAACAACAAAGTCGATCATCGAGCTGTGGCCTAAGGCAGTGGTTCCTAACCTGGGGGTCCCGACCCCCACAAGGGGGCGCCAAAGCCTCTCAGTGGGTCGCCAGGACCTCTCCACTTTAAGGGGTTAAAACTTAATTTATTACTTGTTTATAGCCTACATTTTGCTCACATTTTTTTTCATGAGTGAAAAGTTTACTGATATTAAGACAGGAAATAATTAGTACAGTAAAAGTAACACACTTTTAAGAACATTTTGCTCAGCTCACTGTTTTATTTTCAAGTGTCAAAAGTTCATTAAAGATAGGACTGGTTGATTAATCACAGCCTTTACAGTAAATAATCTAGTATAAACAGTAATATACACATTTAAGTACATTTTGCTCAGTGTATTTTTTATGTGTCAAATGTTTATTGAAAGGAATGATTGATTTATCAGTGCTTACAAGAAACAGTGTGTTCAGAAAAGTAATACAAACTGTCAAGCACATTATGCTCTGTTTGGTTTTGTTAATGACTTTGTTCTGTACTGGAGCCTACTATTACTGTTATCTATTGAATCAAAGCATATTAAAATGTGCTTGAACAATTTTATCATTTCTTAATAATGTTTGTACTGGAAGAGAGAATGGGAGGGGGTCATCAAAAATTTTACTGGTAAAAAACGGGGTCCCTTGGGAAAAAGGTTGGGAACCACTGGTGTAAGGTATCCTGGCGCCAACAGCACATATGGACACCTTTATGTCTGAATATGGTGTTCATAATGGACAGTCCATAACTGGCACAGAAGTCCAATAACAAAACACCACTCGAATTCAGATCGGGGGGGTCGTTCCTCCCAACCACACCTCTACAGGTCTCACTGTCGTTGCCCACGTGAGCGTTTAAGTCCCCCAGCAGAACGAGGGAGTCACCGGAAGGAGCGCTTTCCAGCACCCCCTCCAAGGTCTCCAAAAAGGGTGGGTAGTCTGAACTGTAGTTTGGTGCATAAGCACAGACCACAGTCTGAACCCGTCCCCCCACACGTAGGAGAAGGGAGGCTTCCCTCTCATTCACTGGGGTAAACCTCAACGTACAGGCACCAAGATGGGGGCAACTAATATGCCCACCCCTGCTCGACGCCTCTCAGTGGGAGCAACTCCAGAGTGGTAGAAAGTCCAACCCCTCTCAAAGAAACTGGTTCCAGAGCCAGAGCCATGTGTTGAGGTGAGTCTGACAAGTGAGGGGAGACGCTGAGGGCTGCCTCGGGAGGTC